TTACACCCATCCCCATTTTCTCATTATTTGTCCCACGTAAACAGTTGGTTTTCTGGGCTCTGTGGACCCTCCCCATAGGCTGGGGGGAGATGTTAGCCCGCCGACCTCCCAGACACCAAATAGTCCCCTTCTACTAACCCTTTTAGCCTGCTCTGCTACACTATACAGTAGAACTTCAATTATCTGATCTTATTGCAGCTGGAGCTGGATTGAATAATCAGAAATTTGGGTTATCAGAAATGGCAAGGCTTGGGAGGTTGGCTTAAAAATGATAAATATATCAATAAAACACTAGAAAAGAATGGAGGCAGAAAAAGATTGATTAACAATAGAAAGAGAAACACAATATTGGAAAAGGTGAACAGTTGGAAGAGAAGGGGAGGGAAAGAAATGAAGAAAGGGGTTTTTTCCTTCCCTATCCCCCAATTAATTTAATTAAATTTAATTAAATTAATTTTCCTCCCATACTCACAAAGTTATAGGGTATTATTTGTATTTCAATACTACCTACTGTTTGCAAAAAAGATTAGGATCCCATTGTGCAGTACACTACACAAACATGAGTCTATGTCAAAGAGCTTATACCCTAAAGAGATAGAACAGGCAAAAGGATGCACCATAAAGTCAGTGGTGATTGATAAGTATCATGTTAGTGATGTGATTTTTATGTTTTTGCCAGATTTTTTTTGTTGCACTGAAAAAACGTGGAAATCTTAATAAGATATGCTAGAAAGTTTATATCTTCATTATAGTTGCATAAATGATTCTCTTAAAGTCCATGGTAAGGAATTAGTCAGGAGTTGAGTGGTGTAATTAACTTTGTGGAAAGCCCAGTTATATAACATATATTTGAAGTCTGTAATAGGAGGTACGAAAGATTAAAATCATATGAGAGGAGATGCACATCTCTCCTAATGCATACTTAAGCACTCAGATATCCACCAGAGATGAAGTAGATAAAATGAGCTGTTAGGGTTCGATTTAGATTACTAATAAGCTGTTGAATAATCCAGATTCACTCAGCATTATTTTTAGTCAAACCTAGAACAGCATAACATGAAAAGAAGCCATATTTTACTCTCTTCAGGAAGCAATTTTCAGTGTAATACTACACATTGTAGGGCTGCTTCAAAAGTAGGAGTTCAAATCTAATTGTATTTATACAGGAGTTGTTTACCATTAATGAAACATTAGCCAAGACTTAGGCACCCATTCTTCTTGCCAGTTTCTTATCTTGTTTTGAACATAGATTTCCAAAACCCAGCAAAACTGGAGATACACTGAATTGCCATAGGTTGGTACAGAGGCATGTTGGTCAAGCATCAACAAAATAATCTGTCTTCTTTCTTAGAACACTCTGCGGATTACACTTATCATATCTGACAAGCTTCAACACAATATACATTTTCCCTGAGAGATTCTACAGGTGCACAGACCAGAGGTTGAGTTCCATTACTAGTATATTGACATGATAGCAAGACTACCTGGGAGAATGGCTCACAGTTGAGCATAAGTATAAAGTATACAAAACCATCAAGATAGTCCTGTCTAAAACAGATGACTGGATAAGAGGGTGTGTTTATTTTCTTCTCTGCATAGAATAAAGAGCATTTAAAAGCATATACGGCATGTACATGTGAAAAATGTCATGGTATGTGCTGAGGGAGGGCCAAGAATGCTTATACCTTTCAGGGATGGACTTAGTTTAACCTGTTCTTAAAAATCTCTAGTGATCGGGATTCCACAACCTTCCAAGGAACCATATTCCAGAGCTTATATTCCCTTTATGGTTAGTGTTTTCCTATTATCTGACCTTTCTAAGTCACCCTTGCTTCAGATAAAGCCCATTACTACTTATCTGTCCTTCAGTGGGTATTAAGAACAATTGATCTTTATAACAACAATCTTGAAATATCCCCCTCAGTCATCTTTTCTCAAAACTAAATATGCCAAGTATTTTAATCTTTTTTTATAAGTCAATTTTCTAAACCTTTTATCATTTTTGTTGCTCTTCTCTGGACTTTCTCAGATTTGTCCACATCTTTCTTAAGCCATGGTGCCAAGAACTGGACACAGTATTCTACCTGAAACCTCACCGGTGCTGAGTAGAGTGGAACAATTCTCTGTCTCGTACATCTTATACTCTGTTCTCCAGAATATTAGGCTTTTTTTTGCAACTATCATGTTTACTCGTATTTAATTTGTTACCAATTATAACCCCCAGATTATTTTCAGTGTCCTGCCAGTTATTCCCCATTAGATGGTTGTACATTTGATTTTTTTCAAAATAACTGCCTGCTGTGTAGACGCAGACTAAGTTATTTTGAATTAACGCTAGTTAGATATTGCTGTATAGGTGTACCCTTCTTTGTTAAGATTATTTTGAATTCTAAAACAAAAGACAGGACTATGCAGCACTTTAAAGACTAACAAGATGGTTTATTAGATGATGAGCTTTCGTGGGCCAGACCCACTTCCTCAGTTCCACAATTTGATCTGAGGAAGTGGGTCTGTACCACGAAAGCTCATCATCTAATAAACCATCTTGTTAGTCTTTAAACTGCTGCATAGTCCTGTCTTTTGTTTCAGCAAGATCAGACTAACACGGCTACATCTCTATTTGAATTCTACACTGACATCCAAAATACTTACAGCTGCTGTCATTCACAAATTTTATAAACACACTGTCTCCACTCTATTATCCAAGTCATTAATGAAAATATTGACTAGTATTGGATCCAGGAGAGACCCCTGCAGAATCTCAAATAATACATCTTTCCATTTTGACAGAGAACCATTGATATATACTCTGAGTGTGGTTTTTCAACCCGTTGTGCACCCACTTCATGTTAATATAACCTCAATCATATTTGCCTCATTTAATGATGAGGATGTCACATAGGACAGTGACAAAAGGTTTACTAAAATCAAGTTATATCTCATGTACATTTTCTTCCCCCATTCATTAGATCAGTAACCCTGCCAAAGAAGGAAATAAGGTTGGTGTATGATTTGTTCTTGATAAATCCTTGTTGGCTATTACTTATTGCCCTGTTAGACTCTAGGTGCTTATTCATTGATTGTAAGTATGTGGTAGTAAATACTTCATTTTCTTGTAAAATGTTGACTTTTTGAAGCTGTATCTGTCATGTTCAGTGAAGCGCTCCTAAAGCTCATATAAAGGGAAGCATGTTTTTACTCATACGCAATTTTTAAGTGATATTAGCATTTGCTAAGTTTCCTGATTCTTACCTTGCTACAAAACATCCTCTGGCATGAGATGCAACGAACACTTGGTTTTGAAGAGCAGATAAGTTTTAGGGATGTAGTAGTCAGCTAACGGATAAGCCTAGGCTTTTTGGTAAATCTAGTCAACTATTCAAATTTCTAACCCCTCTTGCTGCCTATGTATTAGGGGCAGCTAGGGTGGGGAAGCAGGAGCCAGTTCCCCTGAATACTGGCTCTCCATGCTGCAACCTCTGTCCACGGTGAGCCTGCTGCCGTGAAGCAGCCTCCATCCGTGGCGGTGCCATGCTGGCTGCAGACAGAGGCTGCTTCGTGGTTGCAGCCCCTATCCCCGGGGGATCCCAGTCCCCTGCAGACAGGGGCTGCTTCCTCCGCCTTCCCTCCTCCCCCCCCCCAGCAGTCTCTGTCCACGGGGAGCAAGGACACCCCACCCAATGGACAGGTGTTGCTGCCTCTGTATCAGAGGCAACAGCGCAGGGTGGCAAGCAGCTGAACTGCAAGGGGAGTAGGTTTTTTAACTGGCTCTCCTTGCAGACTGGCTCTCTAGATAGAGAGGCAGCAGCACCAGGTGGCAGGGAGTTCCCTGGGAATGGGGCCGGATTGCACTGGCTGCCGACCCGGCCCTGGGGACTATAGAATAATCAACTAACCGCTGAGAATTCATGCAATTAGTTGACTGTTGAATTAACTGATAGCTAACTTCCCTAATAAGTTACCCTTTGCTCACTTAAAGCTCCCCAGAGTTCCTAGGAGTCCTCACCGAGTAAGAACTTGATGCCTGGGAATAGAGTGAGAGGACTGTTTCGCTGGGCTCACAGTAAACTAGGATTTTAGCTCTTCTAGTGAAAATGTGGATGATCCAGAGCTAAGATAAATCTGCATCTATGTCTGCAAGCGAGCAGTGTGATTCCTCTGCTTATGTATGCATACTTATGCTATCTCAAGTATAAATAGCCATGTACCCATGGTAGCATTGTAGTGATAGCAGATGCCAAGTACAGACTGCCTGAAGCTGGTGAATTTATACTTGGCATGGCTTCTTCCTGCCCTATACTGCTATTTATACTTGTTCTACCTCAATGAAAGTTAGTGTGAGTATGTACTGAATCACACGCCTCGCTCACGCTGTAGACCTAACTAGACTGCCTCAGTAATGGGGAGGGTGGGAGTGGTGGAGGCAAGTCACCCAATGGTCTCAAGTGAGAGATGGTTGGACTTTTTAAAATATCCAATATGTTTGTTTTTTGTCAGTACAGGTTGAAATTTAAGTGTGCTGGCTGAATTTGAGAAGGCAGTAAGAAAATAATGAGCAGCCTGCACAGGAAGGCTTCTGCTAAATTTACAAATAATTTTTAATTTCGCTGTATCCCAATTGCAGTGCTGACTGTTCATATGAACATTGGAACAATGAAGTTTAGGTTTTCAATTACTGAATTTTTATGTTGCAAATTAAAATATGCATTTCTAAAATTGATAAAATAGTTTGCTTTTGGAAGCAAAGTAGCATCAATTTATGTAGGCTCAGATTTTTTCCCCAACATTAAGATGTTAAGATAGGCAAAACATTACATTTTATGGTAATTATGCAGTGTGGTCTGTGTTTGGAAAACTTCCAAGGTTTGTGAGTTTGGCTTTTTTGGTCTCAAGTCATTGACATGTTTTACTGCTCCTGTAGCAGACACCTGGAAGAGAGTAAATTGTCTTGTTTTAAATGTTGCACTGGCTGATACTTTAAGTACTGTTTTTGTTTCTAGCCAGTGGGATTAAACTTGGTCAGTGTTCATTCAAGTCCAAATGATCAGATGCTATGGGCAATTGATAGCAAATGGAATGTCCACGTACGAATAGGAATTACAGAAGAAATGCCGGTAGGCACAGACTGGGAGCATGTACCAGGTAAAAATAACGATAGTATGCTTATGTGCTTCCTTCCACACATTCAGGTCCTGTTTAATTCCACACTTTAATTCTGTTTGTGTTTGTTAGTGACCTCTTCTGTTGCCAAACTTGCTACATTGTTGTGATTAACAAGATTGATTTGGTTACCTGATAATCTTAATGATTTGAGTACGTGTGTCCTAAATAGGGTCTCACTTTCGCTAAACATTGTAAGTGCCCCTTGATGAGGGATTTCAGCTTCTGGAAGTGTTTTCATTTGAACAGGCAGCATTGCACCTTTTCCAACTTGCTGCAGTGAGTGGTGCTGGTAATGCACTCTTTTTTCTGGATTGATAATAAAGCCATATTTAGCAAGATGCCTGAGACTGCTGTGTGGCTAGAAGTTCTATCTTTGAATGTGATACAAAATTACGGTCCTGCCCGCAGTGATTATTATAAACTTAATCTTCTTTTTCAAGTCTGCTTCTATGAATCCCCTTATCCTGGACAAATTCCATCTGCCTGCCAAAACCTTAGTTAAATGCAGTATTTTCCTGACCGCCTATCCTAAATGGCTGAGTAGTGCTGACTGCATTTTGGTTATGGAGGGGAGTCCGATTTTGTGCAGGGAAAGCAGAAAATTATATATATCCACACAGTTAGTCTTCACAATGCCTTGAGCACAGTTTGGCTAAAGAGAGTTAAATAAATTCAAGATTATTCTCATTTCCATCATACTGAGATCATTGTCCTGTCCATTTTAACTTGAGACCAAATTCTGCTCACACTTGAGTAACCATCTTAAAGTGAAAGGAATGGTCAAGGAAGAAATGTGGAAAATTTGACAGCCTTTTATGCTAGAAAATTCTCCCATGGGATATATACAGAATTACATAAAATACCTTACTCTCACTTGATTCACTTCTTAAATTGCATGTAACATAATCTTATATAAGAAAGCATTTAGTTATTTCCTTCATTGTGTGTTTCTGTTTAGGGTTGCAGGCATGTCATCTGGCTATAAGTACAAGAACTGTTTGGGCCCGCTGTCCAAATGGAGATGTAGCCCGTCGGTATGGCATTACTGACAAGAACCCAGCAGGAGACTACTGGAAGAAAATTCCAGGCAGTGTGTCTTGTTTAACAGGCAAGTCAGTTCTGCATGATGATTTGAAAACTTCACTGACCGATCTTATGATAGCTGCTGTGTATTCTGCCTGATGATGCTCAGATCAATTACTAATAAAGATAAATATGCTAAATGCTGCTATTTCCTTATCTGACCATGACACTTTCATTAATTTAGGTTCTTATAATTCCCTTCTCCCTTTCCTCTTCCCCCCAAAAAACCTTCCCTGGATTCAGTTAGAAAAATCCTAATGAAATACCCAAAAAACCTTCCCTGGATTCAGTTATATTTCATTAGGATTTTTCTAAGTTGCATTTTGAGTGTTTGCAACTGTAACATACTGCTTTAATTAAAATCTGGATAATTTTTTCTTGGCAGTGACACCTCTAGATGAACTGTGGGCGATTGGTTCTTCAGGATATCTTCTTCAGCGTCTCACAAAGACATTCAGTCACTCTCATAGCTTGCAAAAAAATAGTGACACTTCTGTTTTGCTTCACCCTGATGATTTTGAAGATGAATGGGAAGTGATATGAAGGCACTCAAGCACATGAAGCAGTGGAATAACGAGAGAGTAATGCTCAGATTTCCTGTAGCATGCATAGAGAATGTTGGTGTTTAAAGCCAATTATATTTCAGATGCAATATTAGCACTTTTTTACTAAAAAACTGACCTGTCAAATAACCCTCAAATTGTGTATTCACATTTGTTCCAGTATATCTTGGGAGACAGTTAAGTGTGGCACACAGAAATTGTTAAATTGTATTATCCTAGCAGCTCATTTGGAAATATGACTGTAAGTTAAGCAATGAAAGTAAATATTTTACAACAGCATGCACACTAATATATATGTACTTCTTTTGAGAGAGATTTCTGTTGCATTAAATATTTCTCCACAGCCGAAACTTTAAATGTTTCTCAATTTCTTTTTGTACTCGAAACTCCACATAGAGAGATGTCATCAGTCATACAAATTTAAAATGATTCCAATATGGATTTAAAACATATTGTACAGCACTAATGTCAAAATGAGCATTGTTTGGACCATTTTTTTGTTCAAAAATTCCAATGCTTCACTAATTGTCCTTCTCTGGGCACTTGGGTTCAGTACCTGGTTTCATTCACAGATGAGAAGTTTGAAATTATCCTAACTCAAGTGGACATTTGTCCACCCCACGTAATATCAGGAAACTTTGCTTCATGAGGCCCAGAACTAGAATAGCAGCAAAGTGGTAGGTCAGGTTTCTGGTAGGTTGGCAGGATTGTGAGAGGCAGCTTTCTTGGTATTTGCTGCACTGTATTTGTGCCTGTAGCCAGTGCTTTATGGCAAGTTTTTTTTTTTTTTTTTAAGTACCAGTTTAAAAATATGGCAATTAATAGAGCTATATGTAGTTCTGTCTCCCATAAAATGTGATATTGTGGGGAGGTGCTTAACAATATTGCAATTTTTAGCTACATTAGCTAAATTCTGAAGTGTCTTAACAAATGTTGCAGCAGAGGTGTTTAATGAGCTGGGCAATGTGCTGAATAAATTTAATCAGTGCTGTTTATTTTTCTTTATATTCTAAATGTTCTCTAAAGGATACCTCATTTTTACGCACTAGAATTGTAAAAGAAAAGAACTTGAGTTCACTGAAGGAAGTGGAAGAATTTTTTTCTTTGTGTACATTTTAAACTCATACATCATCAGAATGTTTAAACAACTGCTAACCAATGCTGTAAATGAGCCAGCTTCAGAAGGAGACGAGGAGAAAAAGTGGAAAGAAAATTCAGTATTGAGAACCTGGGAGTCAATGCATAAAAACGAGACATGTTTCTGTTTAACCTCTGCTATCTTTCAAAGTAGTTCTTGCACATTCAGTGCTTGGTTGGAATAGACGCAATTTAAGGTTTGAATGTAAATCTGATTTAAAAAAAAAGAACTAATTTGGTTCACTTTTTTTAAAATAGAGCATGTGCGCTATTTGTCTTGGTTCTCAGTCTGATTTTTAAATCTCGGATGATCTGAGTGTGTGTCATGTTTTGATTCCCTTTGATGGCTGATATATTTTGAATTCTATCTCATCTGTATATGGGGACTGCCATGGAATTTCTTTTTTAGTCTGTCTGGCACTGGCACTGTAATGGATGCAGCTTTTGAAGTTACCCAGTTTGATTTACACAAGCATGGCAGGGTTTTTTGAGAACCTCATGGCAAATGAAAATTTAGTTTAAAAAAGTATCTTTTGGCAGCTCCCAAGTCATCCAGTTCAGAGAAGGGACAAGACATTTTCTCCACTCCTTTGAAGGAACAGATGTCAGATACAATGGTGTTATTTAATACTGATACTTTTTATTACTCTTTTTAAAAGTCATCTTGGTAATGGCTCATGCTTGCTAGTTGTTTGTATACTGCATAATACTGTACTTTGTTCATTAATATTAATTGGTGTTAAAAGCCTTTCTAAATTGATGGGATGTTATTGTGTAATTTGCTTAATCCTGAGCCCAGGTAATAATTTGAAACACTTAACCTCCTTACTTTTCTTTATTTCAGAGCTCTTGATTTTGTTTTATTTTTTTGTTGTGCTTTGAGACAAGTGCAATAAACTAGACTTTTTCCAAACTATAATAGTCAGAGCCTCAATTATTATGACTGATAAATAGAAAAGGGAGTTTGTTCATCCTGGGAATGCTTCTTGATGCTGGAGAAACATACTTATGAAACGTTACCTGGCAATGGGCCACACATTATGATTCGGGGCTGGGTACATTAAAGAACACAATTTCTATTTTCAAAGCATCATGTGCATGCATCAAAGCACACTGAGCACTATACAACATAAGACGGTCCCCGTGTAAGAAATATTATTACCTTATTGTTAACAGCTCAACTCCAACTTCAACCTAGGGCTCATATGGCTGTCAACACAGCAGCGTTATTTTGGATTAACTACTTTATTCCAAAATAACATAGTCCGCATCTACACAGCAAGCAGTTATTTTGACAATGTCAAAATAATGTTTGACTCGAGGACTTCTTATTCCAACTCCTGTAACTCTCATTTTATGAGTAAGGGAAGTGGGAGGAAGAGTGCTCTAACTCTGACTTCCTGCTGTGTAGACAGCACCAAAAGCCGAAATAAGCTATTTTAACTTAAGCTACGCAATTGACGTAGCTCAAGTTGTGCAGCTTATTTCAGCATTAGCCTTGCAGTGTAGACGTGCCCTGTGTGTTAGTCCTTAGTCATAGTCATGGAGTTTTAAGGTCAGAAAGGATTACTAGATCATCTGTCTGACCTCCAGTACATCACAGGACAGCACCGGCACAATGAACCCAAAAACCAAAATGTGTCAGCCCACAGAAGACTATTATGTGCTACAGGGAGACATGAGGATGGAGAGAAGTGTACTTTCAAACCCCATAAATCATGGTACTCGTTATGGCACAGAGGTTGATTCACACAGGATGTCATAGCAAGGATTAATAAATTACTATCAGAGCCAGAGCTTCTGATTCCTAGGTTCTAACCACAAGACTATCCTGGCCCTCTTGTCGCATGTTAGTATCTTCGGTGAGAATCAGTATAGCTTTTGTCCTGAAAACTCAGCTTCTGCTGAATTTTGCAGCAAAATTGTATCTCTTGATTCTCACCTCATTCCATTGCTATGATACAGGAGTAATTGTTATGTCACAGTTTGCTCTGGTTCTTGGCACCCGAGCTGTAACGTAGATTACCCTTCTTGGCAGATGAAAATAGTTCTGTTTTTATATTTATTACACTGAGAACTGAACAGGAGAAAATAGATTGCATTAAGGAGAAACATTGTTGGAAGCAGACTGTTAACTGTCAAAAGCTTTGAGGCAAATTGTATAATAGATGAATTATGTACGTATGTTTTTGTACAAATTCTCTTTTTGCTAAGGAAATAAGTCAAACTTTTAATTAGATGTTTATTTTTCATTTTCTAAAAATTATTTATGCAAATATTAAAAGCTGCAGCTCCCCTATAGCCCTTTTTTTTGTTCTTGTAAATTGTGTCAAGGGTGTAAACACTTGCAATTGCCAACAAACCTCCACTCTTATGGAACTCCTCTCACTCTCACCTGGCCAACCTCATCACACTCCCTCTCTTTGCACCAGGCCCAACAGGAAGAAGAATCCTGAAGGCTAGAAGACTGGAGGAAAATTGCTGTATTCTCACTTTTTTTTAAATCTTCTGATCACAGCCATGGCCACAAAACATTTTAAAATCTGACTTGCTCCTATTTATGCTAGCTGCTCGGTCATGGCTCACTAATTTTGTTATTTAACCAATGCATTTTCCCAAAGTAGATGTTTCCAAATATGTCCCAGGCTCTTTAGGCTATAACCAGCCACTTAAATCATCCTGAAACCAATAAGCTGCCCATGCATACACTGAAGTTCAAGAGTATTTTTCTTCCAGTGTGAAGCACTGCTGAAAAGGTGGGCCACTACAGATCGCCCCTTCTTGAGTTTCTGGATTGATTTAAGGAGCACACCATTAAAAAATGCTTTATACAAATCCACCTCTGAGTTACAGGCCTTCAATTTTTCGTTTTTCTGTTTTTTCCACTAGCATCTCTACTAGTTTCAAAAGGTAACTAAATGTGGAATAGTCTTCAAACCGGCGTGTTTTAGTGGGGTCTTACAGCAGACACTTCTTGGCACTATGCTATTTAAAGGTTTTATTAATGACTGGGAGAAGAAAAATCATTATTGATCAAGTTTGCAAGCATCAAACTGTGCAAGTGGCATAATAAAGAGGACAAGTCACTGACACAGAGAGATCTGAGCTGCTTGGTAATCAGCACAAGCAAACTATGCATTTTAGTAATAGAGATGTAGCTGTATTAGTCTGGTCTGGCTGAAACAAAAGACAGGACTATGCAGCACTTTAAAGACTAACAAGATGGTTTATTAGGTGATGAGCTTTTGTGGGCCAGGTCCACTTCCTCAGATCAAAGTGTGGAAATGGGTCTGGCCCACAAAAGCTCATCACCTAATAAACCATCTTGTTAGTCTTTGAAGTGCTGCATAGTCCTGTCTTTTGTTTCATGCATTTTAGTATGGCTGAATTTGAATGTGTACCGTTAGGAACAAAGAATGCAGGCCACGTTTGTGGGAAAGGGTACTCTATCCTGGGAACCAGTGACTCTGAAGATGAGTTGGATGGTGGTGTGGATGCTCAACTCAAAAATGAGCACCCAGTGTCACTGACCAAAGGGCCTGGCATTTACTTAAGAGCAGGGAGATTATTATGACTCCATATTTGACACTAGGTGTGACATCTGCTAGAATACTGCATCCAGTTCTGGTATGCACAGTTCAAGGAGGATCAGCTGAGAAATTGGAGCTGATTCAGAGAAGAGCAGTAATGATTAAAGGGTTTGAAAATCTGATTAATAGCCAGTTGCAGAGTGGTGATAATAGGGTTACCATTGGTACAGTTTACCAGGGGCCGTGATGCATTCTCCATCACTTAAATTTCTAAATCAAGATGGGATGCCTGTATATAGGAGAGGATCTAGTTCAGCACCAAGTCATCAGCTCAGTGCAGGAACTGCTGCATGAAATTCTATGGTTTGTGTTAGATAGGAGGTCAATTAATCATGGTCCCTTCTGGCTGTAAGGGCTATTAAGAGATCTGCAACAAACCTTGCATCAGCCATATTCTATTCTGTGCTAGTTAAGAAGTGGGGCCTGCAGGAGAAATAAAGATCACATTTTTCCCAGAGACACTGTCTCAATTCTACCTTGTAATATAAGGACTTTTTCTTTAAATTTTACATACGGCCTTCAAACACCCTTTTCTGTTCTTAGTCTGTTTCCTTGCTATCATCTATTGATTTTTGTTGTGTAGTTTTTTCACTAGATATAGGGAATTATATGTAAGAAACCTTATGCAAGATTTCCATGTTGCATATACTTTAAAAGTAATAGAGATGTAGCCTTGTTAGTCTGGTCTTGTTGGAAACAAAAGACAGGACTATGCAGCACTTTAAAGACTAACAGGATGGTTTATTAGGTGATGAGCTTTCGTGGGCCAGAGGAAATGGGTCTGGCCCATGAAAGATCATCATCTAATAAACTATCCTGTTAGTCTTTAAAGTGCTGCATAGTCCTGTCTTTTGTTTCATACTTAAAAAGCAAAGCTACTTTCTAGTGAAATATCTAAGATGGTGGTCTGTGGTTTCTAAATGTCAAGTCTGCTTCTGCATCTCGTTTGACTAAAACAGAAATTGCAATTTGTGCACTTGTTTGTATGAAATCTCCCTTTCAGAGAACATGCCCCTAAGTTTGTGCATCACTTACATGTCAACTTCATACCCACAATTATTAAATAGTTTTAACTTTGCTGCAAACAGCTGCATGACCTATACATAGAAATAAACCAGCAAAGACCGGTCAATAAATGTTTCACTTATTATAGTTTGCTTGCATTGAAAGTCTAATTCTCTTGGGTTTATGGAAAGCATGATAAATTGTCAGGGCAACACTTTACAATAAGAGGATAAGTGGTGTTAATTCATTTTGTAATTATAATACTAAAATGCAAATCTCAACAGATATGATTAAGCATGTCACAAGTACAGGTGTAGGAGATCTATTGCACTTTAACACTAATTAACTGAATGATTGTTTCAAATGTTATCAGCATGCAGAATGCATCTTAAAAAAAAAAAAAAGAAGAGACTTGTCTTTGGCTGACCTAAGGATTGTGCAGAGAAATCAGAGCCAAATCCTGTTGCTCTACAGAGCTCACTTCTTTTGCACACTAGGCTTTGTTCTGTTGAAAGATACCCATGAGCCCACCTCACAGGCACATGCAAAATAGCTTGATTACATGGTGCCGATGTAAAGCACTCTGGAGGGAGGTGACTGCTCTGAATGTAACGGTTCCATCTGACTGACACCCAACAAATGATCATCCAAGAAAAGCTGCTGCTACTGTGCGCCAGCCTTCTTCCTTTCCCGGATTGTATTCCTCTCTCCTCCCACTCACCTTGCTTCTCATAACTGCGCTTATAGTCAGCTTATAAATGGGTCAATTGTTTTCACCATTTTTTCTCTCTTGAAAATGATCATGTTACGTGACTACATCACCTCGCTCTAACTGTTCAAAAGCTATTAGAGTGGCAGGAAGGGTTTAGCGGTGCCACTAGCAAAAATGGATCGGTGGAGCCAATAAAATGTTATGAAATAAAAACATGGCACCTCAAAGTCGTTATATTTCAATGTGGACAACCCTGTATTATCTCTGTCCTACTATATTTGTTTCGATACCATGAATTATTATACATTTCAAATGATTATCCAGTAATGGAATGTTTGCAAACAGCTATATTGTTTGGGGGGGGGGGGGGCATAAAATGTTAATAGATTGAAAAGGGGTCCATGTGCTCAAAAAGGTTGGGAACCACTGTTCTAGGCAAAGCTTTTTTTGGCCTTGGATTCCATCTTCATATTAATGGTTTCTGACACTTTCTTGGGTTATATTCTTAGCATGGTGATTGCAACAAACAGCCCAATTAGAAAGCTCAGAATCAAAGTTTAATGTGGACTTTTAAAGTAGCAGCATACAACTGGACAAATACAGCCCTGGAAATTGTGGGCTTATTTGA